ACCGTGAAATATCATGGAGATGAATGAGAGACAAGAATTTTGCCTGCAGTGAACCGCTTGGGTAGATTCTGGTTAAAAGAATAAAATATGACATGCTGAAATAAATTGTTGCAAAAACTAACATTTACCACAAAACAAACCCAAGGATTACATTTCAGATTTTAAAAAATAAATTTAAAAATGGCATCAGAAAACTTCCACTATTTAAAATCTGCTACCTACAAAGAGCAATACTGATTTTAAAGGGAGATGTGTTCTTCAATTTTTAAGTAGCTAGAAATTCTGTCAGTGAAACTAGCAATGAGTGCTGCCTTCTTTCTGCATTTTGGGACCATGTAAAGTTAAGCAGACCTGACATTTACTGCTGCAGAGTTTGAGAGCCTCACAACAAAGAGCTACATTTTGCCATTCAACTGCCCATTCTGAGAGAAATTTGTAAGGGTTTCTCTGCACCACCAGTTATGTGTAACAAAAACACATGCAATTTTTGATACATTACTAACTATAGACACTTTCTATGGACAGGATAAAAGTGACAAGCCCACTCACCCTACAGTCATGGTAGTGCAGCCACTGTCTTTAGAGAAAGCAAGACCAACATCACCAAAATATTGTGAGAATTTAGTGGTCCCTGAATGTATGCTAAATGAACACGCTCAGTAAAATAATTCAGACTTCAAAACTCAGCTTCTTTGGTTGTAGATATATGTTTGTGATTGACATTTAGATATATCAGCTGAACCAAAACTTCATAATAGAATTCTCTTCATTAGCCTGATACCATTTTCTCTTTGCCAAAAGGACACATCTTTGTAGACAGTTCAGGTTCTGCAGCTGTTACAGTTTATATCTTATGTGTGCTACATGGAAGCTTCTAAATTCATCTGCGATTCATTTTTGGCTTTGAAATCTTAAATAATACTGGGGGAAACAGCTATTAAATTTCTCTCTCTCCCAGCTTTCTGACAGATATTAACAGGGCTACCTAAAATGCTTTTTCTACCTAAATAGATCTGCCTTTAGCTGGCCATAATCCATGGTTCCACTCTGTCTATGCTGTTGCTCACTCTAGCAGTGTGGGGAGTTCTACCTACAGTTTCCAAATTCAGTTTGATGTTGAAGAAATTACTCATCTCATCTACATTAACCATGTCACATCAGGTACCTAAATTAGGAACACAATTTCTGTGGTCTCTACCATAGTTGAAAGGTAAAGAAAGGGGAAAGGAGGCCTCATTGGAGAGTGATGTGCCTCATCTCTTCACTTATCTCACATAGTTGTTTAAAGTCTTTCCCGGGAAAAGGGTTTCTTCTTGCTAATGACTATGCAGAGAATCATGCCACCGAAAGCTGAGCTAGCAATGTGCCCTTGCAGCAAAGGCGGCCAACAACATCCTGGGCTCCATTAAGCAAAGCATTGCCAGCAGGTTGAGACAGGTGATACTTTTCCTCCACCCCGTGCTGGGGAGACGTATGTGGGTGCTGGGTCCAGTCCTGGGCTTCTCAGTACAGGATAGTCATGGACATACCAGCCCAAGTCCAGCACTGGGCCATAAAGTTCATCAAACTGGAGCATCTCCTATCTGAGGAGAGGCTGAGAGAGCTGGGCGAACGGTCAGAGAGATCTTATCCACATGTATAAATACCTGATGGTAGGTAATGAAGAAGAGGGGATGGGACTTTTAGAAGTGCCCATTGACAAAGGGAGAGTCAACGGGCACAAAATAAAACCCAGAAAATTCTATCCAGACACAAGAGAACACCTTTTACTGTGATTATTGTCAAACATTTGAATGAGTTTTCGAGAAACTGTGGAGTCTCCATTTATGGAGATATTCAAAACATGATCGGACACCATGCTGGGCAACCTGCTCTAGCTGATCCTGCTTAAGCCAGGGCTGGACTAGCTGAATTCTGTAATTCAAGAGGTCCCTTCCAACCTACATGAAAACAAAAATCTCAGTGACAGCTAGCTGCATAAGGAGGGTGTGTGTATTTCCCTTTGTAAGACAATGACACTCCATTTTGAAGTTAAGCCCAATTGCCCTTTACATTGGTTTCCTGTCTTCATATCAGACTGAGATACCATGGGATGGAGATAAAGGGAAGACGTTAGATTATAACTAACAGCTCTTAATTTGTATGTGGGCCTGGCAGGGAGCCCCCATCTTCGTTGGTGGAAGTCCCTTGCAAACATTTCAGCCTTCACTGGAGAAGAAAGCCAAAATGTTCTAAGCACCCTGCTTGGAGGACCCTTTTTCCCCTGGGGGGCCAGAAGATGAAGTAAGAACTGTTACAAGCTGGGTAAGAACAAGTGGGCAAGAAGAAGGATCCTTTGCAAGCCCACAAGTACGCCTAAAGTGCACTCAAGAATGATGAAGGACCCAGAGCAAAGATAGTTAATAATATATATAATTATTTTTATTAATTTTGTCTAGATTTGCATATTTCCTCATGTTAGATAAAATGATGTTCTGCTTGTACGCCCCAGAAGAATTATTTCTTTCATCTCTGGCACAGTGCTAGGCAGTGCACTGAAGTCCTGCAGCATCCATGCACTGGAACTGAGGAAAGTGGGAAGTGTTCAGTTTACTTCAGCAATGCAGGAGCTGAGCACTACCCACAAGTTGGTGTAAGCTGAGCTGCCTCCTCTTGCTTCTCCAAGGTAAAGAGAAGTAAGATTTACTTCTTCAGCCACAAAAGGTTCCCAATGGGAGTGAGGACAGCCATGATGGCGCAGCTTACCTAGGCCTAGGGAAGAACAAGAGAGCAAGGGTCTTCCAAAACAAGACCAAAGCCGGGAGCCTGGTGAGGGACCAGATAGCTGAAGGTTATCCAAACTTTTTCAGCTGTCTTGGGAGTAAGCTGACATTTTTCATGACATCTCAGAAAAGAATACAAGTAGCAGGAGCAAATTAAGCAAAATAGTTTGAGGTGAATAGAACAGCTGGGAAATTCTTAAGATCAATATCTAGGAACATGACAGGATCTAGTGAGTAATTATAAATAATTCACTACTATGTCAAAAACTTTGAGCATCACATAATTCTTTATTTTCCTGAGAAGCATGAATGCAGCTTTCTGTTTTTTCTTTGTCAAAGCAGACAGTGACAGTACCATATTCTTCTGCATTCAGTGAAGGAAATGACAGAATTGTCAGCTCAGCTTTATGTAACAGAAGGTTACTTCTCTCACCAATAACATACACCATATTTATGTTAAAAAAAAAAAGTAAAGCATATAAGATAAACAACAACTTTTCTGCAGAAGTACATCCTGTAGTTTTCCACTTTGGAAATAGGACTAGAGACAGAACAGGAGAGAACTTCCAAAGATACCTACTTCTCGCTGGGGACTGAGCCATGACAGAGATTTGTATCACACTCATTTTCATGCAGAGGATGCCATTTGCATATAAGTTATGTCCTTGTCACACGGAAGCAAGGGAGTCAGCATCTAGCTAAATTCTCCCTTGTGGAAGATATTTTGTTGGCCTGTGGCACCTTAACAGCAGACAGAAAAGGGTGACATGATAAGGAAAAGATCCCGTTCTTCCTGTACCCTGCCAAAGCTGTACAAGAAAAGCAAGGTAGCCTCAGATTGCACTGGTGCTCTGAATCCTCACTTCACCACTGGAATATTCCCCTTTCAACAGAATACCCCCATAGGAGCCTCCAGAGAGGAAAACCTGCCTCTACAGTCCTGAAGGAACTGCTCTTTAAAGTAACCTATGGCTTGTAGGGAGAAGGTAGGCTGACTATTCATGGCAAACATTTTCATACAAAATACTTTCCATGCTTCTCCTTCCTCTCCTCCCACTGCAAAACAACAGCATTCTTCTATTAAAGATGTAAGATATTTGTAAATCCTACACTTTCATAACCCAAGCATGTCTGTTTCAAAACTAGGACAAAGTTATCTGAGGTACAGGGCTCTGAATTAAAAAAGCCACAAATGATCAAGAATTGTCACGATTTATGTTTGAGTCGCATGGATTTTGGATTGGGGCCTGACCAACACAGAAGGTCTGATGATGCCATCCTTGTTCATCTGGGTAATACTGCTATGAACAGTCCAGCTCACTAGTTGGTGAATAAAGTATTGCCAGACCAGCACTTAAGCAGAAGCAAATACAGGACAGGATTTCCTGGGGATTAATGACTGTCTGGGAGTTGATGATAGCCTGATGCACAGGCAGTCATTAATCTTAATCCTCAGGAAATGATCTCTACCAAGGTCATTATTTCTGCAACAAGATAAAAGCAAACAAAAACCTAATGTTATACAGATATTTTTATTTTTAATGAACGATAAGGTTTCAACTGTAATGTAAAGTTCACATCCCTTTAACGAATACCCTGCATATTCACCTCTTAGAGTGGTTGACCTCTTATCTTAGAAGCTTTATGCCAAGACCAAGATTTTGAAGAGGAGAAGCCTTCCTTGGCTTAGACTGTTAAATCCACAGCACGGCTGCACAGCTGCCTGAATGCAAAGTGCCAAATGTCCAGCAACTCCCACTGATCTCAGATGTTTCTCATCTGTCGGAGGTGGACTGGACACTTAGCAAGCCCACTGATCCCAGGGAGTTTACCAGCTGGCTTTCACAAGACAGGCACAAGCCACAGTAAAACCACATTTGTATGGAAACCAAAAATGGACAGGTTCCCAATTGTGTAGTCTTATATCAGGATAACTCTCTTTATCTACATTTTGTGGAAAGTAAAAACTTCTGAAGGTCATTTCCCTCACATTTCATATTTTCCTCCTTACAAACAAGTGCATTTTTAAGAGGCTCTCGATTAAAGTAGAGGTTGGTTCTGACTTCACAAATGAATTATTCAGGAGTAAATACGATGAGCTGGTTTTCTATAAATACATTGCATGTTAATGTAAGAATAACGCTGTGTAGGTCAAGCTGACCTTTAATAGTCACACAGCCTGTTTATACATTCTATGCTGCTTATGCTATCACGAGGACTTAGATAGGACTTGTTTTCTGTCAGCCTTTCAAAGCCCACATGAGTCAAAATGATAGAGCGCTGTTCCTTTTCATGCCCGCATTTTCCCTGCAATTATTCAGGAGAAAGTAGCAGTGAACTTTATTACTGACATAAAGATAGAGAAAAGCTGGATCTCCCAGCAGCTAGACTGTTTTCTAACAACTAGAAATTTTACTTTTGACGGCAATATTTGATTTGGAAACGGTGAAGAGTCAAGCATGGAGTTCCCAGATTTTATGAGTGCTTTTCCAGGGACTGAAAACAGTTCCCTTGGCTGTGTCAGCTGCAGAGTTGCTGGCATCTGCTTGGGAAGTGCTTTGACTGATGGACCCAGCAGGCCAGAAGGAGAGCAAGCACTGAGGAAACCATCGTACAGGAAGAGGCCAAAAGAAGGTGGGTGCAGATGAGCGAGATGCAGTATGAGGAAATGCAAAGAAAGTAAACAGTAGCAAAATGGGGAAAGAAGAATTGGGAGGAGGGCGGAAGGAGTATGACCAAGTGCAGGGGGTGCCAGAGTACTTGTGTCTGTGTCAGCTCTAATTCAAACCTTTCTCACTTTTTTCTTTGAAAACGATGCTTTGTAATGTTCTCATATACTGTTCTTTTGCTGCATATCCAACAAATATGGCCAATGATGCAACGTTTTTGACTTCCTAATCTAAGTCATTATCTGGCAGAAATACTGAGGGGATCTAAGTTGAATAAAATGGGACAGAAAAATGTTCAGAACCTCTTTCTGCTATTCCTTTGAGTCTGATCCATACTCGCATTAAATGATTTGAAAGAAATCCTTTGACCTCATAGGTCATGCACCGGATCCATCATCTTTCATTACATGAGTGCAACAGGGCTAATTTCTTTTGCTTCCACAAAACTCAAAAATAAACACAAATCACTTGTTTACTTCTCTATTATGTCTGGTGGGTTTTTTTTTGTAGTAGGAAAGGGCATGTGAAGAGAAGAAAGCTATGGGTGCCAGAGAAGGCACCAGGTAATCCTTTACATTTCTATATCCCTCCAAATGATGTGTTTGTATAGCAAAGGACTGCACTTCTGAGACACTTCTGATAAATACTGCCCTTTCTTTTAATTCTTAGCAATGAAATGCTATCAGGTTAAAAAATTGCTTAGCTACCATGATAAAGGTCTATTAAAATAAGTATCATACACCTGTTGATTGTTCGATGTTCATTACACACAGGAAGATTAAAACACAAAACATGGTGAGAGTTTTGAAGGTAAAATTCATACAGAGCCAAAAAGGTAATCAATACAGCAGGTACCCATATCCATTATCACACATATTTTTTAATTGATTGTAAGATTCAAGGACAGTGCCTCCAAATTTGTTATCCAGTATTACTTACCTTGGCCAGTCACAATATTTATATCAAACTAAAATTTCTTTTATGGAGGTTTGCAGAATTATCCAAATACAGAATAATGAATGTGAATACTTAAAATCTCAAAATCTCAGGAAACAATATGAGCATTCAGTGGAGATATCCAGTACTTCTGTGTAGTATCGGAAGGCTCTGTGTCTGCCTTTCCAACTGCCTGCAGTGCAAAAGATATTGAAAGTAAGTCTGCCTACAAATGAGGTGGTGCTTCAGAAAAGGTTAATGACCATAACGTGTGACAGAAAAGTCGGTGGACTTTTTTCACATTTCTCCTAGACATCTGGGAGTATTTTTAAAAAAACAAAACCAGAGTTCCACATGCAAAAAAAATATTTATTGAATTGGACTCCTATATTGGTGCTTTTGTGCTCTCATTAATTAAAATTTGAATTTTGTGAGGTCAGTGGAAATTTGAAATACTAGTTCCTTTGATATTAACACCAACTTAGATGTCTGGACATACATAGGCTATTTTCCATTGTCTTCTTGGCCATTTCTTCATGAAAGTTGTGCATTAAAATACAGTATTTACGGCAAATGTAGGTAGGTTATTTTTCCCTTTGCAAATTTTAACTCAGTATGTCAGTTTTAATGAAATGTACGGTGGTTATTATCCTGTACTTATTTAAAGGCCACAAGACCTTTATGTTACATTTTTTGAAGAATATTAATTATAGGACAAATATAAAGAGTTTGGAGAGTAAACAAACAGTAAAGTATCGTGAACAAAGAAAGCCTGAAGGAAATTTTACTGGAGTAATATAAACAAGATTTATCCATTGCAACCGTCTCTATCAATCCACATTGATCTGAAGTGTTTTACTGACATAATAAAGAACAGCAAGCTCTTTAGTGTTGATCTTTTTTGTCTCCCAAGAGAGATTTCAGATTTCAAACCCCTTTTTTCCTACACTGTCGTGAATAGGGAAGCCTCTGGATTGCACTACATGGTGCAGGCTTGCTACAGGGAAAAAGGTCTAAACGCTGCACAAGCTTTGTCTAGTAAACAAGGGAAATATGCTTCAGCAATGGAAAAATACCTGAGAGCTGATCTTATTTCTAAGTCTTCGTTAAGTTCAAATTGAACTTTAGTACTCTTGTCAACATTTCTAGCTTTCCTGTGGTCTTCAATCTGTCATAAATGTTTTGCCCCTGCTAATGAGCTCTTCCCAATCTGCTTCTGTTCTCTCCTATTTTTAAAATGTATTTTTTGAAGACTATTTAGTGCTTTAGACGATTGTTATTTTTGTTTATGTTAGCACTATTCGAGAACACCACAGATGCATCTGCAGCCCAGGAGTTTTGCTTTAAGGGAAAAGAGGAGTGCAAAGGATTATAATGAAAAATTAGATTTTTTCATTAAAAAGTGAAAAATTGAGATTGGAAATTTCTTCTTCTAGCAGAGAAAAAAGCTTACTGGGTGTGGCAGTGAGAGTCTGTTCAACTGGCTGTAGCAATGCAAATAAAGGATAGCAAACATATAACTGCACTAAAGTTCCTATGTCCTTTTTGGGCATTGAATGGGAATAAATTGGGCAGAGTCTGTTGATGACTCCACTTTAACAGGCAACAGACTTTGGCAGTGAATAATGCAGCATTAATCAAAGAGAGAAGCAACGTGAATCATAATCAGAGCAGAAATAACGGTGTGGACATTGCAAGGACTGAAATTGCCCTTGTGTTAACAAAATGAGTGTCAGCTTCAGCTTTTAAAGAGGGAAATGGAAAAGTAGATTTGCCTTGTCCGAGACACAGAACAATTTTAAAAGCCGTATGCAATCTTTCAATGACAAACATAAAGGAACTTAAATGCAAGGAAGTGCTACATTTTTAATCACTGAAGTTTAGAAGGTCTCACTGTCAGTAATATTTTAGGTCTCTTTTGTCCCTCACAATTCCTTCACAAATTATATTTTTCAAGACACTTATTACTACAGCAAGAAAAGCCCTACAGAAACACATTCACCAAATAAAAACCTGGCCTGATGTTTTTTTGAAGTCCACTAGAAGCTGAGACTCAAATCACCCCACAATTGCAAAGAAATTATGGTTTTTGTCCCAACTTCTCAGACCAAAGCAACCATGGTCTTCCTGCTAACTTCTCAAAAAAAATTACACCACACTTGGATAAAGCAAGCAAAATGTTAACACATATGTAACACAGAGGGACGTTACATTTTTTCTAATGTCAGTGTTAAATCACCTGAAGTCAAACCAGCAGAGTCTCATTCTTTCCTATATTCCATACGACAAATTACGCACCATTTTGACTTTTTTTTTTTTTTCTGATGTACTAAAATCAAAACCAGGAAAGAAAAACCAAAAAATCTAGAAATGTAGAAGAGAATAGATTTTTCATAACCTTTAAACTGCTGTTGAAGCCAGAGGTGAAATAAAGCAGGAGTTATGATGCGCATCAACCAAATGATAAGTTCTAGTTAGTAATGCAATGAACGTATTTCCAAAGTTGGAAGTTGCAATGGGAATATGTATGCCATGCCACTAGAGTGCAAAACCCTCTCAGAAAATTCAGACACATTCAGAAAAGACTGATGAAACCAAGAGAAATGCAAATAAATAGTTTCATGGGGGTAAAAGAAAAGGAAAGTACTTGTTTGCTTTTGCAACAGAAAATGAAAAAAATTAATAGGAATACCTTCAGCAAGCGGGTCAAGTGTGTGAATCATGAGTTGGAAGATGCTGTTCCTCATTAGACTGTTGTGGAGAGATGCAGAGCTTCCTCCCCGCTGGAGCCGTGGCTTAGTCTAGGTGGAAAAATAAGGGAAAGAATTTCAGGGTGTTTTTTTACTGTTTGTGTCAAAACAAGTATGAAACACTATGAATTAATCTCACATCTCACATCTCACTACACAGTGAAACACCTATAGCAGATTATTATACATTGCCAGCTATATAGACAATTTCTGTATAGGGGATGGATCATCAGATTAGTCACTGGTCTCCCAGGGCTCATGAAAAAGAGCAGGAATGAAAAAATCCTTCTCTGTGAAAACTCTAAAAATGTTAAGAAAATAAAAACCTCATACTTCCATCCGGAAGAATTAATGAGTTTTTCCTTTGTAGAACTTTGTGGTTCAATCCCTGAAGTAAATTCTAGTTTTTACTGACTGGGTATCTTGCAAATATGTGTATTATCAAATTTATGGAGAAAAAGGACAGAGAGTACCTTTTTTAATGGCAAAATCCTAAAGCTCAATCAGAGTGAAACATACTCCTCACTTTGGTTCAATACATTAAACACCAATTGCAAAACCAGATTGCGAGTGAGGTGAGGCAGTGCAGACACAGCAATGGAGCTGAAATACAAGCATCTTTTGCATGCTTTTGAAGAAATTTAAAACATATGCTGAGGTTCTTTTCCCCACACCATTGTCTAGTCCAATAATCAATGCATTTAATATATCCCTTAGAGTAAGAATTCTTTGTGGATGGCTGTCTGCTTGTTTCAAAAAAAAAGGATAATCAGAGCCAACAGACTGCTGACTAATAAGACCCTGAAATCCAATTACAGGGGAAAAACAACCCCGAAGAAAATAGTATTTTGCAATAATACATGGTACGTGGATTAATCTTTGGTGTCATACAAATACTAAATAAGATAGAAACTGAACAAGAAAACGAATTCACCACTTTATCTTTGGAAATAAATTATTTAAATTCTATAGCAGCATAGTAGGGGGAAAGAAATCCCAGTAAGTCAGAAAAATGATGATGTCTGTCAAACCTAACTGAGGCTTATCTCACCATCCTCCTGAAACATAATTCAGACACATACTAATTGCTGCCTACCGTCAGTGTTTGGTCATCCTTGTCGCCAGCATTAGGTGACTGCATGAATGGGAAAAAGAACAAAAAGAAGTGTCAGATGGAGCATGCATAGAAAAATTTGTGTTCATTAAAACAGTGGATGCAACTTAGAAAGTGTTTGCATAATGTATATATATATATTTATATATATATAATATACATACACGTGCTCTTTCAGATACAAATCCACACACATACTTGCAAATCCATGATTTATTTGTGCATACTTGGAAGGACTCATGTTGGAGGGAAAATTTATGTTGCACCAAAATTTGCAAGAATGCCAAAAGGGCAAGCCAAGAAAAGTTCTTGTCTCCAAAGAAAGGATTTAGGACAATTAGGGAAGAAAAGTTTGTGAGATGTGGATGAGAGTTCAGAACTGGAACTTTAAAAAAAGTTTAAAAAAATATTATTTGAGACTTTGAACTTTTGAAGATACAAAATTGTTTCTTCATTTTAATATTGAAGGACATGAGAATATATAATTGATAAATCTGAGTAACGTTTCATGTTTTACCTGACAAAGGGCTGAAGAACCTCACTTATGGCCAAGAGGAGCTGAGAGAATTCAGCATGCCACAAAAATACTGAGCGTGCTCTAGGCTTAACATGAGGGCATTCATTAAAAAAAAAAAATCATGTTGAAGGAAACACTGTCATTTACTTGAAAGGGAATGGGATGAAGCTGCATGAACATATAAAAACAACTAGATGGTAATTTTTTACCATATAATTTAATTTGTAGAGGATAATTACGTTATAAAGAGAAAGAATAATGAAATACATTTTGCATACACATTAAGGAAATAAAAGAAAAGTGAAAAGCACATCTGAAATAATTTAATTCTTTGTCAGTACAGAATGGGATATAACACCATGAAACAGATTTTTTAAATTGCTTTTTCCACACATGATTAGTAACGCAATTTTTTCTGAGCTTAACTTGCCAGTCGAGTTACAATCTAGAAGAAATGTTCAAGACTGGAATATAAATTCAATTTTAAGGCAGAAATGCCTCCTCAGTTTTAAAAACAGGAACATAAACAATGGTTTGACATTTTTGTCATACTAAATACTTATAATGCCAGGATTATCTCATGGATTAACAATAATAACACCTTAAAAGTGTTTTAAACTATGGCAGTGAAACAGTCAGTTGTGGTGTTGCTGTTTATATCATGTATATGATGGCATTTTGTCCCTATTAGGATGGCAAATTAAACTATTTTCCTATTGTTTACAGCAAGTTTTGCATTTACATGTTCATTGCTATGTAATTTGGGTATCACACACTGCATGGCAAAGTACTATAAAGTATCATTATTTTCCTTGTAGAAACATCTAGTATTCAGACATTTTATACGATCTTTTAATTTATGACAACACTTAAAGCCTGATCCAAGGTTAAAATGGTTGTGTTTCTTTGCACTGGGAGTAAATACTATATCTTTGGATAAACTCAACAGTGATTTCTTTAAAGAAAAGACACATTTTCTGTAAAGGTAGGTTTGCTCTTAAATCAGGGCAACCATTGCACATTAGGAACTAATGTTCAGGATCAGAAAGCGACAGAAATTCCATGTCAACCACGTATTACATCTATTTCTGAAGGAATTAGTAGTAAAAAAATTATTTTTTGCAATTACATGCTATAATTTATTCAAAATCATGATTTTATTATAGCTCTGAAAAATGAAACCATTGCATTCTATCATACTCTTTTATTCAAAAGTACCTAGGTCACAAACCCTTACTACGTTTTTATCAGAATTATAAAAAGATTAATCATAGGACAGTTCACTAATTTTTTTAGAGGATTCACCAAAATATTAGTTGTTTCTCTTGTATGCCATGGCGGTGTGTAGGAGTTTGTCTATACTCCTGCCTGTATCAGTGATCACGTATTCAAGTTTGCTCCACCTGTGCTAAAAGTCTTAAAAGATTTTACTTCAGAAAGAATTAAAAAAATAAAAAGTCTACTATGAAGAAACAGTGTATGGTATCCTTTTCACACATTTCTTCCTCTTAGTGACGTAAGTCCACCAGTGATTAAGCCTGACGTTCCCTGCCTTGTTTGGGAATGTGTGTTCTTGAGAAACAGGCTCCTGAAGTAATTCATGCAAGAGATGATGCCTCACTAACTACATGGTGAACCTCCTCATGCTTTCCTTTAAAATAAAGGGCACCATGACAGTCAAATGCAGAGCAGAATCTATAAAAAGCTCTAGGTATTTAATCCAGAATATCCTTGTTAATAAAAGATGGCTAGTAACTTGAATCATCTATCATGGAATCACGGAATTGTCAGAGTTGGAAGGGACCTCTAGAGATCATCTAGTCCAACTGCCCTGATAAAGCAGGGTTGCCCAGAGCACATTACTCAGGACTGCATCCAGGCGGGTCTTGGAAATCTCCAGAGAAGGGGACTCCACGACCTCCCTGGGCAGCCTGTCCCAGTGCTCTGTCACCCTCACCGTAAAGAAGTTCTTCCTCATATTTGAATGGAACTTCCCATGTTCCAGCTTGTGCCCGTTGCCCCTTGTCCTATTGCTGGAAACCACTGAAAAGAGTCCGGCTCCATCCTTCTTCAACCCACCCTTTAGATACTTATAAGCATTAATAAGGTCCCACCTCAGCCTTCTCTTCTTCAGACTGAGGAGCCCCATCTCTCTCAGCCATTCCTCATCAGGGAGATGCTCCAATCCCTTTATCATCTTCTTGCCCTACGTTGGACTCCCTCCAGTAGTTCCCTGTCTCTCTTGAACTGGGGAGCCCAGAACTGGACCCAGTATTCCAGTTGTGGCCTCACCAGTGCAGAGTAGAGGGGGAGAATGACCTCCCTTGACCTACTGGCCATACTCTTCCCTAGGCAGCCCAGGATTCCATTGGCTCTCTTGGCAACAAGGACACATTCCTGGCTCATGGAAAGTTTACTATCCACCAGGACCCCCAGATCCTTCTCCCCAGAAGTACTTTCTAGCAGGTCCATCCCTAACCTATATTGGTGTCTGGCATTCTTCCTTCCCAAATGCAGGACCCTACACTTGCCCTTGTTGACCCTCATGAGGTTCCTCTCTGCCCAGCTCTCCAGCCTGTCCAGGTCACGCTGGACGGCGGCACAGCCCTCTGGAGTGTCAGCCGGCCCTCTCAGTTTGGTATCATCAGTGAACTTGCTGAGGATACACTCTGTCTGCTCATCTAGGTCACTGATGAATATGTTGAACAAAACTGGACCAAGTATTGACCCCTGGGGGACACCACTGGTTACAGGCCTCCAACTCAACCCTGCTCCATTAATGACAACCCTCTGAGTTCTGTCACACAGCACCTCTCAACCCACCTCACTGCCCCCTCATCTAGCCCACACTTCCTCCGTTTCCTAAGGAGGTTGTTATAGGAGACAGTGTCAAAAGCCTTGCTGAAGTCAAGGTAGACGACATCTGCTGCTCTCCCCTCATCCAGCCATCCAGTTATAATATCATAGAAGGTTATCAGATTGGTCAGAGAGCTGATTGCCTGCAGCTCTAGGAGTTGCTGTTCTGGTAGAAGTTTCCATCTTACAGATTCAATAGCCTGAAACAATTAGCAAACTGGACTGCCCAACCTCTTCTCCTAGCATAAGAAAAGCAGGCTGTCAAACAACAGCATGTGAAAACATAAATGGATTTCAATGCCCTTTCTACAGTGTGGGTTCACATCTTTTTTCTGCTTGCTAAATCTTTTCTAAATACTGTAAGTAAAAAGCACTTTTTTTTTTTTTTAAATCAGCTTTTATGGGAATAATGAAAGTTCATGATTTATTGTGGCTGGCAGCGTGGTGCTCAATGCAATATGGTGTCTCCAGTTATTGCAGAGTATTTGCCCTGATAGGATTTTGCTAAATTGTCTCAAGATTTCACAGTGAAGGACTTCTGCTACCCTCTTTTATGCCTGTTTT